GTTTGTGTTGTTGGATCTTTGTTGTACTTGAATGTCAAATGGAACTGTAGACTTATAATTTTAATAAATTAGTTTTAATTATTAAATTTCATTTTAATATTTTTTTTTTGTATACTGCGGATTTAAATTAATTGGAAATATAAACGCTACAAAAAAATTCTGTAAAAATATATGACATGAGATCAATAACGAAATACAATTGCTATATTAAACAATTTAAATAGCAAAACGGAAAGTGCTATCTAACTAAAACATACTGTAGCGGAAGCATAAAGCGCTATATTAAGTGTCAAACCTATTATCGCGGCCGATGATACAGCGTACCTAATAACGCTATGGTATCGTACAATAGGGTTTTTCCGTCGCAATGAATACTCAATTTTCTTGTAGTGAATAAAAATAGCACCACCACCAAAAGCTATAATTATGAAATGTGAAATGCTGAAGGATAGGTACCTTGAGCTCATTCTTTGTCCTTATAGGCTCTTTCGTTTGACAACCAAGGTCCTCATCCTCATCATAGCTCCAAGCAACCATCTCATCCACTTCATCTTCGTCATCATCATCATCTTCAACCTCATGTTCCTCATCTACACTCTGTATCTCGCCTTCTTCAAGTCCTCCTTCCATATCATTCTCTTTCCCCATGACCACATGATCCTCAAACTTCTTTTCCTTATTACTTTCTTCCTCGTCACTCTCATCTTCTTCTTCTTCTTCACTGCTGCTACTAGCACTAGAGCTGGAAGAAGAGCTAGAGGTTTCGCTCTCAGACTCAGCAGAACTACTTTCCCCCTTCTCCTCATCATCCACCGTCAAACTAACCATCTCCAACCCTACTTCTATAGAAGAAGCTAAACCCAAATATGTTCTCTTCAACTCTGGTTCATCCAAATTCATGGTGAGACAAGCGACAGACCCAGTCCCATCTTCCATTGGCTTAGAAACAACAAGTTCTGACTCTTTCACAGCTGGTTCATCCACACCGTCAAAATTTGCATCACAAATTTCAGGCTTTACCTCAATTATGACCGAGCTCGCTCCAATACCCTCAGGCCTGCTACCAAAAATCTCAGGCTTTTCATCAATCGTCGACTCATACCTGAGCGAGATCACTTCACCACAAAGCTTGGACGTTACCTCAATGGATTCATGCTCATTAGAAATCTATAAAGGTTCATATCCCTTTAGGGATCTTGCTTTAAGCATTCATGAAGAAATGGTTTTGAGTCAAAAGTTTTGAGATGTTAAACCACACACTTTTGCCTTGAGGTCTTCATGTAGTTGATTTAGTCTTTACAAAGTGTTCCAAACAAAATAAATTGCCAGCCTAAACTTTTCAGATAAAAGGGGTTGTAACAAATGTTGTGGGGAGAATCAAAGGTTTGACCTCAAGCCACCGTTTGGTACATTCTCCAGTGAGAAGTGTTGTCTTCATAGTGCACGCATCAATGTCGATTTTGCAGCTTCCCGCTTTATCTCTGCAGCTTTGCCACTCCCTCGGAAGTATGCATATACTTGCTGAAAATCGTAACTTCATGGGTTAGAAAAACATTCTTGGATATATCAAAAAAAAAAATTGTCACAAATACATACATCTTAAAAATAAAAATAACAAAAATAGATTTAAATATTTTATCAAAAGAAGTAAATATATATATTTATATTCTAGGTTAATTAATCTAGACATTAGGATTTAGAAATAAACTGCGAGGTTTAAGGTGGAATGAAAGGCATAGGGCCGTTAGAGTATCAAAAGTTTCTTGTGATTTCCATAGGGACAGGATCTGCAAGTCCGAAGAAGACGTACGACGCCCAAGATGCTGCGAAATGGGGAGTGTTATCTTGGATGTTCGACGCAAAAGATAGAACGACTCCTTTATTAGACGTTATCTTTGAATCAGCCGGGGTGTGGCCCAATACCACACCTCGGTTCTGTTCCAAGCCCTAAGTGCCGAGGATAATTACCTCAGAATCGACGTACGAGCTATACTTAAACATTTATGTGCGGAACCGTTTTCTTAAATACATGCAAGTGGAGGTTTTCAAATCTTGTAGGTTATGTTTGTATTTACAAGATTCTGTTTATATGTGAAAATCTATCTTATCAGGTCGATGATTTGGACGAAGACGATGTCTACATGGATCTTACAATGACGGCGAACTTGAAAAGTCTTGAGAAAATTGGACATAATTTACTCAACAGCGAGGTTAAACGTATGAACCTGGACACTTATAAATATGAACCTATTAAAGAGAGCAAAATCACCTATAAAGACAACTCTTCAGGTGATCCAAAGTTTCAAAACTTGTTATGAGAGTTTCATTTATCATTCACATCGCTTGAAGATTTGTCCATGCAGGTTTGCAGAAGATCTCTCTGAGGAGTTGAAGCTCAGGAAAGAGCGCAAGGCTAACAATGATGGTTCATCAAACTGACTGATATATAAGCTAGAAAAAGATCAATCTTAAGTTGTGTGAAAGAATTTACTGTTGATTTACGTCTTTGTTGATCTCCCTTCGTCTAAAACAAAATAATAAAGCAACACTGCGTACTACCGTCTCTTTTCTCTTTTCTACCGTCATTCCCTAAGAGCAGCAGCACCAGCGAACCTGGCACAAAGTTCGCCACGTGCCTTTTTCCTATTTTTTTTTATTTTTTTCGTTACTTTTTCTAAAAAAAAGAAAAAAAATAATAATTGGACCTATCGCAGGCCGCCACGTGGCGTGGGGCCCGCAGAACAGTTACAAACTCGCCTCTTGCAGACAATTCCCCACGACCCAGGTTCATAAAAATAACATTATTTAATTTTTCTTTATTGGTTTCTGTGTAAAACCCCCCATTGAACCTTCAATGGGGGTGCTCTAATGTGTGACGTATTGTTGTGTTATTTATCCGGTTTAATCAATTTTGGTTCAACTATCTGGTTTAATTCTCTCGTCTATTTAAATAATTTAATACTACGTAATAAAGGCGCGAGATGAGATTAATAATTTTACCTTGTTAAGATAAGAATTATTAGTTATGTTTAATTTGGATATCAGTTCGGTTTCACATTGTTTTTGGGTTTTAAGACTGTATTTTACATAAGATAATCTAATATTATTTGTGTTGTTTGAACTTTCATATATGTTAAACATGCTATAAAAATATGTATATTTATACTCATAAAAATTGTTTTTATTGAGTTTAATAATATAAATTTTATTTATCGTAGTTTTTATATAATTGATTTTTAATAGTTATTTTTATTTAATTTTAATCTCTTAATCTAGTATAATTTAAAAAGTAAAACAGTTTGATTTTTTAATGGATATTGAGATTTTTATCTTTTTATTTCTATGTTATTGTTTTTAAAAATGGATATTAAGAAAATACACAAACTAATTTTAATAAAAATGGACTGTTGTAGGTTTAAAACCCAGCATACCTTAATAAAAATGGACCGTGTATTAATGAATCATTGAGTGAAAATTTGATGAGAATCTTGGAACAGCCTTGTGAAAGAAATGAATCAAACTCATTCACCAGATCCTTTTTGATAGAAGCAATAATCTCAACACCCTGTAGAATATTAAAAAAAACTGAAACATAGAATCTGAAAATTAAGCCTACATATTTTTTAAAAACTTAGTGATATGAAGAGTAAATGATGCCTACATTAGAGTCAATTAGAACCTTCTCAATGGTTAGACCACCAGCAACCACTACAAGAAAATCGAGTATGCATTACGCCGAGAAAACGCTGTCTAACACTACCATAACAGTATTAGGTACGATGTATCATCGGCCGCGATAATAGGTCTATCACTTTATATAGCACTTGCTTCTGCTACAGTATATTTTAATTAGATAGCGATTTCCATTTTATTATATATTTTTTATATAGCATTTGATTTCCGATATTGATTTCAGTTTTATTTTTGTTATTTTTACATTTAAATTATTTATTTTTAGTTAATTATATAAAAATAACAACAGAATTTAAAAACAAATGATTTATAATTGAACTGGTTTACAAAAATATGATCTATCTTATTAAAACAGAAACATTACAACTTCTTCTAGGTGGATTTTTAAGTTGGACCTCATATTATTAATCTATAGTCTAATAACGATATAATATTATTGTTAGTCTGATATAATCTTTACGCAATTAATTATATTTCTCTATTGTTTAGGAAGTTATCTATTATTTAGGAAGTTAGTGATGATTTGGTATCTTATCATTATTTGGAACATAATTATAATTCACCTTCTTATTCTTTACGAAAATCCTCAGAATATTCTTATTCTTTTTAAGCAGAAAATCTCGGTTACATTTAAAAATTTTGATTTGGTATTAATTATAAAGCACAATTTGACAGATATATATATATAATCCTTTATGGAATTATCCCTTCTCCAAATCAACCTACTTTGCCTAAAATATCGCTTAGATACTAAATCTCTTGATTTGGTATTAACTATAGATTTTTAATTCGTTTTCTGAATTGTTGGAGAGTATATTTGTTTTGACGCCCTACCTAAAATATGAGGCTTATATATAGTTATTCTCATATTCATCATTCAACATTCACTATCACCTCCAATAAAAAAATGACAAAACCAAACACTTTTGTATTCCTTAACGGTGTTGAACCTTATAGAGATAATTGGCAAATTCGCGTTAAGGTTCTTCATTGTGGAAACAAAACACCAGTTATGGAGGCGACACATTATAGTTGGTCCTCGCTGACAAAAATGTAAGTTACAGAAGTTTGATTTTTTTTTTAAGTCATTTTCTAATCAATATCTTATTCAAATTTTTTTTTGTAGGATGTAAAGATTGCAGCATTTTGTAAAAAAAAAAAATCAAACTTCTGTAACTTACAGATTATGACTTGATCATCTTCATTTTCTTTAGTTTTCTTCGGTGAACTAAACATTTGTCTTCTTTTTTTTGGGACGAACTAAACATTTGTTTTTTTTCTACAAATCTCAGATAAATTCATTTTCTTCACATTTCATAATTATTTTCTAGGTTAGATCTAATCATGATAATTTTAATGTCACATATTTATTTCATTGGAATAGCTAGGGAAAACAATAGTCGCTACAAGAATCTAAACTATTTGAAATCAACCTTCAAACACTTGATTGTATTGGTAAGTTTTCTTGACTTCTATTTTCAATTTAATAGTCGTATGACGTAAAAAACAAATAAACAAGAACCAATGTTTATTTGTTAAATATTTATATTTTTCTCTAATAGCTATTGAACATTTAAATATTTGTTATAGAACATGTCATTCAAAAAGTTGTTGCAAAATCAACTGATAAGATATCTTCTTTCATAATTTCATGTATTTAATATTTAATTTTTATAGTGAAATTTGTCAACCAAAATTCTGGTACAATCCAGTCAGAAAATATTCTCCTTTACATTTATCAACAAGATATTCCAAAAATAATCTTACCTTATAAGTATAATATTTTTGAAAATTGATTAAAAAATATTTTATTTTAAACTTTCTCGTGAAAGCTATGTCGTTTAGAAACATTTACCAATTTACTATATATAAGACATTAACAGTAGAGAAACAAAGTCACTTGATTTTTATGATGTTATTTTTTCTGTTTTGGATTTATTAAATTTATTTTATTTTAGAATGATAAGACTTTATATACACATAATTTTTTGGTTTCTGCTTCTGATTTTGGTTTATGTGCAGATGATCTATCATAATGATTCCTCTTCTGAAGCCACATATGATTTCATCATTCTTTATTTTCTTTTATTTTTTATCTTTTGCAGTTATCTTTTTTGTTATTAATCTCAGGTTAATTCATTATCTTCACATTTCATATTTATTTTCTAGGTTAGATCTAGGACAGTTGTCTTAATGTAAATCATTATCTTAGAAAATTTATATCAGAAACTTTCTAATTATATAATATTGTTCCTAAGAATATAATCACAAGTGTATATCTTGGCAAGACCATGTTTTGTAGTACAATTTGTATTTTGGGAAAATTACTAGAATGTTATAGAAAATTTGGTATATTACTAGAATAACATATATTTTCTAAAAATTATTATAATGTTTTCGGACTCCTAGTAAATTACAGTCACCCTTGTTTAATTTTGTTACAATTGATATAAATTTTAAT